ACTCTTCCAGGACCTTCCAACAGGTCACCACCTGCAACCTTTAAGTCTACAAAAGCCTCCTTTTCGGAGACCTGTTGGAAGGTGCTGGTTGAAATATATGTCAAATTAACCAGGCTTGAAGATCGTTTGACACTCCAAATGGGAAGTGATTTACGAAATTGATGAGATTTCCATGTATTTCCAACCCACCAAGCCTGAAGAGGTTTTTCAATCCAACTGGGCTGGCTAGTTACATGAAAATGCTGGGATGGGAACTTACTCAAAATGCCACACTCTTAGGTCCCGGAGGCCTACGCCTCAATTTGCCATCCGCATCCACAAAGCAGATAAAACAACAACTTCGAATTGCCTGGGACTGGCAATGCCATCGTGAAATACTACATCGCAAAGGTGTCCCCAATAACCCATTCGATTCCCACACGACCACCCGCCTCATGCAGAAACTTACCGATCGTCAACGCAGAATTCTAGCCCTCAGCATGACGTCAGGATGGCAATCCCTTGGCGCAATCGCAGGGTGGTCCGCCACACAAGCACCAGAGTGCCCATGGTGCCATCAATATGATACCCATACACACCAATTGCTCCATTGCCCGGTATTCCAAGATATTCGTGAGCAACACGCGGATGCCGTAGCCTACATGACCCAACATCATCATATTTGCTGGTTTCCTCTGCCGTGTCATCACCCGAACGTCGAACTTGTTCGCCAAGCCATGCACCTACGCCACCACAACCTTGCCATTCATAGCCATATTCCACTTCACCCCCAAGCTGTAATTTACACTGATGGAACATGCGATGACACCAGAGATCCATATTCAGCTAGAGCCGCATGGGCGGCTATCATATATAATCCCACGCTTCATTCTACTCCGGACCCTGTCTTCCAAGTCCTTGCAGCCGGTCATTGCCCAGGCTCCCAGACAATCAACAGGTCTGAACTGTACGCCATGGTAGTGGCCGTGGAATATGCAGCAACACAAGAGGTAGTACAGGCAGTCACTTTCGTGACAGATTCGCAATTTGTTACCAATTGTATCCATCAGATTGAAGATAATACCATTTCTCATAACCCACATCGCAAATCCCATTGGGATCTTATGAAACGCCTTTTGTGTGTATGGGACGCTAGCCGGTTTACCATCCTCAAAATCAAGTCCCATACAAATATTAACGATTCCCGAAATATACAGGAAGCTTTACACATCCGAGGCAACGATCTGGCCGATAAAACAGCAGGCCGAGTCCGTAACACTGATGACCCCGATTTTGACGCATTGTGTAGGCAGACCCACTCCCACCTGAAGCAGCAACAGGCTATTTTTGATAAAATCTATCAGTACTTCCTCGATATTGCCTATGCGCGCATGACTAAGCTAGACGAGGGTAAATCCAAACCGGCATTGCACTCAACGGAGGGCCCTTTGTCCTCCCAGGAAGTTGACATTTTTACAAGCCAGATCACCAAACTCCGTAATTGGACCATTCAAGGTAACTCCTACATACTCCCAGATGAACCACACAGAGTCGTCTTCTGGTGCAGTGTGTGGGGCACCAATCTTACATACCTGGTATGGCAGTTCTGTAAGCTTCTCGTCTGGCCTCGCCCGGACTCACCACCACAACGTGGTGATCCAGGCATCTCATGGACTGAGCTAGCCATTTCCTTCATGTTGTGGTCTAATCGATACCTCCCTATCCGCATTAAAGAAAAGAAGGGCTATAAGTACTTTGACTACACCAACCCGGCGGTTTCCCTCCTGCCCATTAAGGCCAAATCGATTCGTGTGCTTGCAGAAAATTTTCGCTGGGTAGTCAAACACATCCAGACGTTTTCTAGGACACAGCTTATCCCATCCTTTAAGAAACAAGGTACTTCTAGTTTGACACGTCTCGGGTTTACATCTGATCATGAGGGTGGCCTGTCTCGGCGACCCCAGTTACCCAATACTGAGGCCACATGCACATACCTCCACGACATGCTTAAAACCATGCCGCACAATCCGCCCTTTCACACAGACTTTCTGGCACCTCCCCTCCCTGCTAAACAAGACCAGCCAGACTGGCCCAATTGGCCAGAAGTAGAAGAAAGCCGACGCGATGCATTCGTCCAGCATGTCCGATACGTACTCTTTAAAAAGAAGGACTTCGATACAGTTATACATCCAAAATGCCCCGTGAATTTGCTATAGGCAGATAATTTAGTTTTGCAAGCTCCACCTGTTTAAAAAAAAAAGGAACACTCCAATGCAGGCAGCCGGCATACCCCTCACATGCCACTTTAATTCATTTTTCCTTTATGCGCTTTGACTGTACCAGGCATTTGCGAGCCCGTAGAGGACGTAAATGCCATAGATTACAGCTTGGCCCAAATTCACTTCGAACAAGGTGTGTCCCATTCTTCACATATTCAATCTCGTTTGCCGGCGCCACCATGGCCTTTCGTAGCAGTTCGTAGCTCCTAGTTTCGGTTTGTTCACTTGACTGTACAGCATTCCCTTTAGTTTTTGTGTCTTGTATATAGAATGGTGACCTCTTTGTTCACCCCACCTCCACCCCCTAGACAAACTAGGAAGGGAGAGCGTGGGAGCGTCCGTTTGACTGACGGTCCGCGAGTGCGTGCATCCAACTGGGCTGGGTCTATCAATCAAGAGTCTACATGACTCATCGCTTCATCCAGGCGGCTGCAATCCAAGGGGTGCAGTCCCAAGCAGATTTGCAGCTCTGGATGCCTTCGTCTTAGCTGGATCACTTGCTGCACGTCTGCCGGAGAACTGGAACACACCAGGATGCCTGCGATGGAACGTGCCCCCCGTGGGGAGGAGCAGTGGGTGGGGAGGATCAGTGGATCTCTGATTCAATGATACCTCAAACTGATTCAGTGAACTGCTTTGGGATCGGAAGCATAGGCAAGCAGCCCTTAGCAAACAAAATCACCTGTCATCACCTATCCATCATCCATCCCTAGGGATCCACATACGTACCTGTTCAGAAGGTACGACTGAATCCCTAGGGCATCCACACTCCTTGAGGACTCACCGCTTTAAATCTTCTTCGTATGGAACATTTGCTTCAAAAAGCGAAGTTGAGCTGCGAACTCGAGCCGTAGCCCCAAGTTAACGTCAAGTTGGGAACCCTTTTGGAGTGGAGCTGTTCTCTCAGGTCTAAATGATATAGATTGATTCAGAACCCCCCCTACCAGCATGGCTTTACCTCTTCACGATTCTCCATGTGGGAGGTTCTTCAGACCTCAACCCACATCCTCAGACCCCTGGCACCCCACCACAAGCACCAGAACCCCTTCTTCGGAGCACCGAACGGGATCGAACGGGTTGCGGCTCCGAGCTCTCTCACCGACGAACCGACCGGGAGACACCGAGAAACCGAGACCCCGCCTCGTACGTGGGCGCGGGCCGCGCGGGCCAGCACGGCCTGGTCCAAAGCGGAAATGAACGGAAAAGCTCGGAGCTCACGGCACCCGGTGGTGATGGCATTCCTCGCAAATGTTCAGGATCCCTAGTCTTTATTAGAAAATTGAAAAGCTATGAAAAGCGGTGTTTTCCCACATACCCCCAAAACTATCCGCTACAAAAGGATTAAAAATGTGGTTCTCAAACGTTGGAGGTCATCTCTGGTCATCTCATGTCATCTCTTTCACTACTGGGGGTGCAGGTAAAAGACACCTGAGTGTATCAAAATAGGGAGACCCCCGAAGACTCCTGGAAGAAGGAATCCAGGATTCCATACACACCCATCATGTAGACTCTTGATTCATAACCCCCATTTGGATTGAAACACCTCTTCAACCTTTGGGGGGTGTTCAACTCGAATCAACGAGTCTACCCTACCCATCGCTCTCTTCGAGTCAGGACGTGCCATCTTCCATCGTCGCTCCGATCGCGCGCCTCGCCGTGTCGATCGCGGTCTCGGCACCTCCAAGTCATCCTTGAACTGATCCGCCGTCAAGTGACAGTGGCAGTCCACGAAGGAACCAGCCATGGCGGTCCCGCAGCGCGGATCGCAGCGCGAAAGCGCGAGGATCTAGGATCGCATGAGGGTTGTTGAGTGGATCAGTGGACAACACCGAATTAGTTCGGCGTCATGGCCAAAAACCTCCAATAACCCGTTCTTTATTGTTTAATTGTACCTTTTCAGCATGTCTTGCGTTAATTAAATAGAACAACACGAATGGCCTGCTTGAAAGACAATATAAACAGTGACATCATCCAATTGCCGGGCATGTTCTCCCCCTAAGTTGGATTCTGGATGAGGGTAGTGGGTAGGGGTATAGTGCCTATATATAGACCTGACTCTCACTACAGCTAGTACATCAATGAAACCACACCTGACTCCCCAAGCCATCTGAATGCCTACACTATAGGTGGCCACTGGTCCAAACCATGGCTTTTGCTCGTTCTCTGCTGGACATCCTTTCTCCAGTTCGCGCCCTCACCGCATCTTCACGCAAACCGCATGTCGAGACTTCCCAATCCGTGCTTCCGAAGTCCGTCATCAGCGATCGGCTCTGATCAGTTGAACAGAAACCCCACTTGGTTTGACCTTGAGAACCCACACACCTCAAATCGATCTCTAGGCCATCTCGAACCAGCATCCAAGCTGAAACTGAACAAACAGTCATCTCGCGATCCAAACCTTCCGGCCTCCAAAAATGGCGGACATGATAAAAGTGTGTTCGTCAAGTTCCAATCCCTGGTCATATCAGGTATAGTCAGTGAAAGGGAATCATGGCGCCATGGCAGCTTGGACCTGAAATCAACTAGCAAACTCTGAACTAACAGTAGAGTGGAGTCATTAGCACATCGCACTTCTCATTTACAACACACTGCAGTCACAGGTGTTCCGCGATTTGGGACCGGCACCGTTGCTCTCTTTCTGATCATGCGGACCACCCCTCAAGCTGAACCAACCAAATGCCTCAAAGCTCCTCCACTCAGCTCCTCCACCCTAAACGGTCCTGTTAAACGACCTATCCGCGCCTCGCAGGGGTCGCCGACCGCGCAGGCACCTCGGCGCGAAGAGGGGCCCTTTGTCTTTGGGGAAGGTTGTGTTTTTGTTGAGATCTTTTTGGACAAGAATGGTTTCTTTTTGAGAAGCTGTGTCAGGAGCCTTGTTTCCTTTTGCCACGTGTTGACCAAACACGTAAAAATGGTCTTGAAATGTCTTGAGGATTGGTGGGTCTTGATGCTTCGAGTAGAAAGAAAATCATGAATTTTCGATATGTTTCGCGATGGCTTCAATGATCTTCAAAGCGCAAAGCTTGGGAGCAAATAAACCCTCAGGTTCTTTTGTTGAAGGAACTTTCCCTGATCATGTCTGGCACCCCCTACAAGTGTTGCCTACTTCCAAGTATACTCCAAGTAAGGCAGAGTGCATACCTTGCATCATCTATGTGCTTGCTTCATCTTTGAGACTGCCCATTCTGTTTTATGGACACCCACTGACCTTTGAGCTCAGTCGCTAGAAAGCTGGTGCTCGCCAGGCTTGCCATGGCTTGCGCAAAAAAACAAAATTGGCAAAATCGTTCGACGCCCCGTTTGACTTTGACCAGCCACGGGAATTTGCAGTTAGACACATCAGGATGTCTTTCTTCTGACACATTGGCGACACAGTACGGCTCCCTCTCTTCACCATGTGGAGTTCTGCAGTTCCTCCGGTTCAGCTCCTCCGGTCTGACAGTTGCAGTTGCACTTGGTCAATCAGTTTGCAACATGAAAAGCTAGTCAAGCACAGCGCTGGGAAGGATCCTAGGCTGACCTCAAGGTCCCAAAGGTCCAGGTGTACCCGGCTTTTTGATGGTCGATGTGTGGAACATCCCCGGTGGCCATGTCGCTTGAACCAAGAAATCCACCTGGAGGTGAAGAAGACGGTTGAACAGCAAACGAGATGGTAGCTCAAAAGATGTCATCTGTGGAAGATTGACCTGAGGTTGGACAGTTCGAAAGGTTGATGCATCCATAAGGCAATTGGTTGGGTCTATCCCATTACCAGTAACAGTTGAAGCCTGATGGTTACTAAAGGCCTTGTTCACAAAATAGAACAAAATCGTCATGATTGTGTACTGACTGTTACAGGTAAGAACGGACAAGCCCAAGGTCTATAGATGGATTGTTTAGGCTGCAATCACGGTCCCTTCCTGACAAATGAAATTCGACCAAGCATGTCGTTGGATTCCAATCACCTGATGGAAGAGGTTCACCTGATGGATCCAACAGGGTTTCCTTCACTAGCTTGGGATGATGAAGTCTTTGCAGCCTCCCTTTTGATCCATATCGCTTACTTTTGGGTGCCCGATTTGTGTCATATCCCTTAACCAACCATTGGTGTCCTACCTCCTTTCAGCACACGCTGGTTCGACCCATTCTTCCGCCAGGCCAAAGACACTTCCGTTGGTCTCCAAATAGCTCAGAAGGAATTTTCTTCGATTGGTCACGGAAAGAGGTCACAAGCTATGTGAAATATGTCCCGACAATTCCTCTGCTAGGTCAACCTGGCTTGCTATAGCTGCTATAGATTGAGCATTTTCGAGAGATGAAGATCACGCAAAATCCCTCCAACATGGCAAGTGTTCCTTTCAAAAGGGTCTCCAAGCCTGCCCTGAAAGAGTTTGGCCTCTGGAAAAGCAAACAGGACGCGTCATGCTCTTTAGATCTCTATAGATAGCATTTGAAGCTAAGCTAGGTGTTCATCAGCATCTCCGACGAGAAGAAAGACATGGCACGGTGATGTTGTACCCCGTGCCAGGCAGCGACCCCGTAGGTCTCACCACTGAAATCAGCCATGGCCTCACCACTTTTCTCCCATGGTGGTGAGGTCTCACCACCCATTGACCCGGCATTTTTCCGCCACTGCTTCGTTGGTTCGTCCACTGCTTCGGGTCGCCCGCTTGGGGTCACCTTCGGTCGGGCGAGGTGGGTGGTACGTGGTGGTACAGGTGACAGGATGGGCAAACTGATGGGCTGTTCAACCTGTCACCACAACAAATCAGCTTCCATGGTGTTGTTTAATGTTTTTTACCCCAACACCAAGCTTGAATCTGCGCGATGTCGTGCGAGGACCAGTCGGCAGGCATGGGCTGTAAAGCCTTGAAGAGCCTTGGGGTGTTGAAGAGGCATGGGCTACAAGAGTCCACCCCTAGCATTGCTGTAGTAATTAGGTTGGAGGCCATTTAGGTTGGAGGCCCATCGCTCTTAGCGTGGAGGAAACGCCAGTAGGTTGGAGATGGTTGGAGGCATTGGGCTGTGGAAGCCCTCCAGGCCATTCGTACCCGCAGAACGAGGTGCTTCTTGGTCCCACTTTTCATCGGCGGACGGTCGATGAAAAGTCATGGTGAGACAGTAGGTCAGTATGCACTGACGACCGACTCGGAAATGGGATCCACTGCGGCATGATAAGGATGATGGATCCACTGGCGGTTCCGTGGATGATGATGTGATGATGTGATGGGTGATGTGGTGTCCTGGAAGGTCCCAAACACCCTTGAAACGGAGGTCGAATGGATGGCAAGGGGGCCATTCCCTAGACCTCCTGGCCTACCTCTATGTCGAAGGTGCTTTGTGTGGGTGCCAGGGGGGGGTCTAACCAACTGAGGATATGGGCCAGGAGCCCTATACACCTTAGGCCTTAGGCTCTACGAGTCGCCGCCCCGCGCGGCGGCTCTTCTCGACCTTTTGGTGGTCCGCGTCTGCCCCTTTTTGGGTGGTTGCGGAGCGACCGACGCTCCGGCGCTCCGGCACGCGGGTGGTGGGAACTCCGCCAAGAGATTCTTCTTGCTGTGACATGGCTGGAGGAAAATGATTGCACATCCTTCAGCAGTTCTGTCATGTCAAACTCGCATTGATGTTCGTGCTGGGCTAGAAAGTAACATTAAGCTCACGGAGCTAGCAATGGAACAGTGTGAATATGGCCAGGAATGGTACAAACATGTACAAACTGGACGCTACACTCGCTGGATTCCTCGTCTGGCGACAAAATAGTGTTGAATGGATGCAGTGATAACCAAAGGCCATACTCATGTGCCCCAGGATTAGAAGGTTGGGGCACTTCATGCAAAACCTGTGCGTGTCCTCAGTACAAAGCATCGGCAATCTTGGAGTGGCCTGGTTGGTGGTTTCAACTCATATTATATGAGTCTGTGGGATTAAGCAATATCAATCATCAAGTAACTTTTGAAAATGACACATCTCTGAAACCACCTGGAAGTTGTGGCTCTATATTGCCACATCGTCGCGGGGGCTCTCTTGACCCTCAGCGAGCTGAGTCTTCTCGGCCGTTTGATCTGAAGGCACGGCCCTCGCTGCTCCAAGCAGCCTTGGAAGTGATGTGGCGTCGTTGGCCGCTCTGGCAAAGGCCACCCTGGAGGTCAAGTTGCGAATCAAACCTCAGAGTGACGAGGGCATCCAATTGGTGGTTCATCCTACATATACTCCTACTTTGTATCTTGGAGGTAAATCCCGTGTTCTAAGTTGTTGCAACCAGGGAAACTACATCGATAGTTAGACAGTTAGTCCTAGTTAAGAGATGTTAAAAGTTGTGAAAAACCTAGGGAAGCTAGAAATAGGGGTTCTCCAGCCTCAGCTACGCAACATGAATCACCAAGTAAAGACATCCCACTCCGACTGCACCCTCCTGCTCCTTGGTTCCAAGCTGTCTCGCCCAAACCATCACCCCCCATCTGCTCCTGACATGACCAACCACCTCCAACCACCTCCAAGGTGTGGGTCCATCTCTACGACCCTCCAAGGTGTCGGGCCCACTCCTCCGAGCATGTCCGGCTCGTGCTGAGAGGACGGAGCTCGCCCCACCGGACTCCCCACGATCCGACAACGAGGACGTATGTGACAAGGGGGACCCTCCAGTGATCCCCACTACATTATGCGGATAGACACTTCCCGATTTCGAAAGCTTCTTAGCTTGGTGGGGTACATCACTGACATGCGGATGTAAATGCAAACAGCCATTCAGAAAGCTTGTCCCAAGAATTCAGATCAGAAACCTTTGAAAGTTGACTCGTAGTGTTGATGTGAAGCCTCCAAGGCCTCCAGAATGGTCTCGCGCACGTAGTTGTTCATCGCATCGAAGCCACCCGGCATCGCCTCAATGAGGTCCTCAGTGAGGGGCCCAAGCATGTATGCAGCATGTTCCATGATGTGCAAACTCTCGGAGTCCTTTGGAACACGCCAAAAGGATGCCATCCAGATGAACAGATGAACATGATGATGATGTTTCCATGTTGAACATGCTCAGACCTCGGCCAAACATCTATGAACCTTCCAGCTAGACATGAACTCTCCCCCGGGCACATGGAGCGAAGGAACACATGCCAGCTGCTGGGTTGGTATGAAGTGAAGATGGTCGAAACCACCGGTCCATTCTTCTCCACGTATGACATATGAATATCCTAATGTAGGCATGTATTCCTTTCGTGGAGTGTCTGGTTGATGTGCAGACCTTTGTTTGAGCTGGTGGTTTTAAATGAGTATTGAAGAGGGATTGGATTGGGACCTTTACAAGAGACAGGATTGCATCAACATGGCCAACTTGGATATCACAGGCCTGGTTCTGAAACTCAGAAACTCTGGCTGCATTCTGCGTTTTGGCTGCGTTCTGGGGCTGCAGCTTTAGCAGTCGTGCACAATGCTTTGAAGTTACACGAATCATACACACAATATACCCAGAAACTGACACGACGATGGGACTAAAAACGTTTGAAAACACCGAGTTAAGTAATATCAAACGGTCATGTACATTGACCCTTGAATCGTACCCAAACCACCCAAGTGAAAACATGTGGGATGACTCCCACCTGCCAAGTCCGTCCTTTAAGGACAGCCCACCAGCCAAACAAAAGGACAAACCGCCTCTCCGCGACATGCGAGATGATCTGTCTGGACTGGAAGACCGCTGATCAGTTGCGTGGTTTCAGTCGGTCTTTTTTGGTACTTGGAGCCGACTTCCAGTACCCTAGAGAATAGGACGTGACATGAACCCATGATACCCCGTGCAAAAAAACTGCGGGTGGGTACTTGTCAGTACTTGTACCCATTTTCGGAGGTACGAACTGAGACTCCAAGATACTCCAGGTAGCCATACCCAGAAGTCCAAAGACTGGGGTAAAGGAAATTCCCTTTCAGGTACCCTAAAGACCAGTTTGTTTTATATTAAGTCTTTGACTCCTAAAGGGCAACATATTCCAGTCCAAACTCTGTGGGTCTCCGACTTCCGCCGAGCCACGCAGATCATCTGCCGATCCTCCTCACACGTCGCCTCCGCGCTGCGGGTGTCGAGGTCGGCGGCCCGCTCCGCCACGCGGACCGCCACGTCGGTGCCTGCACGGCCTTCTTGGAGGACGCCCGTGGAGGTGCAAAGGAGAAGACCTTTCAGGGAAAAACATCGAACATGCTGCCCAAATTGAACACAATTGAATACTCGTGACATGATTGAAACACATGTCGTCAGGTTGGAGAGTATGTCTTTGGGTGTGACTGGCACAGCTCCAACATGTTTCAACTACCCATTTGACATCAACCCAGCGGTCAAAACCGGATCATCCTGTCGTCTGAGGTCCGTAGTATAGTAGTTGGTGCCCCGGAACGGATGGTCCTGGAAGGTAATGTAGACCCTGGATTTATAAACGCCCCTAGAATAATGACCTTTTTCCTGCACAGATTTATAAAGGTCCCCAGAATAATGCATTTTTTGGGGGGACGGGTAGTTGTAGTGGGATATTCTTTATTGTTATAGTTGTCTTTTTCCCTTTTGAGTTTGCTGGGATTTGCTTATCTTACAGGCTTTTGGATGGAGATTTCTATTAAACATTTGGAGATGTCCATTGAGATTTGATGCTTTTGGAGGCTTTTGGATGGAGATTTCTATTAACCAGTTGAAGATTTCCATTGAGATGTGATTCTTTTGGAGGCGTTTGGATGGAGATTTGTATTAAAATTTTGGAGATTTCCATTGAAATTTGATGCTTTTGGAGGCTTTTGGAGGCTTTCTGACATTATTTAGGGGGGGCCCTAGAATAATGTCTAGAGATTTCAGGCTTAAAACATATTTTGCGTTAAGTAAACTTGTATTCATTCCCTTTCGTTTCCTTTTGGTTTGCTTTACTTACCTAAGCTCTTTAGTCTTTAAGCTTTCCAAAAGTTTCCAAAAGTCAGTGCACACTTTCTCTACAAAAGCCTTTATTCGAAAGTATTACTTAAACAAAAACACACAAAAAATCATTCAAGCAAAGGGGGTAGTCCAGCAAGCCCCTAGAATAATGTCTAGAGATTTCAGGCTTAAAACATATTTTGCTTAAGTAAACTTGTATGCATTCCCTTTTGTTTCCTTTTGATTTGCTTTACTTACCTAAGCTCTTTAGTCTTTACGCTTTCCAAAAAGTTTCCAAAAGTCAGCGCACATTTTCTCTACAAAATCCCTTATTCAAAAGTATTGAAAAAATCATTCAAGCAAAGGGGTAGTCCAGCAAGCAGCTTTCTGACATTATTTAGGGGGGCCCCTAGAATAATGTCTAGAGATTTCAGGTTTACTGTTTTTTTGCTTTAAGTAAACTTGTATTCATTCCCTTTTTTTTCCTTTTGATTTTCTTTACTTACCCAAGCTCTTTAGTCTTTAAGCTGTCCAAACGTTTCATTTTGCTGTCCAAACTTTTATTGTAATTAATGTTCCAGATGTCTTCAAAGTTAGGTTTCTTGATTCCTGGAATTTTAGTATTGCCAGAGTAGTTCCAGAGGTAGCTAGCTAAGGATTCCTTATATATTTATCAATGGATTGATGTTCTTATACATTATATTGGAGGCCTTGGTTGTTGAGGGGGGGGCGGGGGAGTTTATAAATCAAGAGTCAACATTAGTTGCACACCGTTGCACCAGAGGAACTTGCAGAAACACACTGTGCCACCCAGTGAGGCACCTTGAAAATGATCACTCGAACAGGACAGGCGGATCGTGTGGTAGACTTCGAACAAGCACCAAATGCGCTGAAGCGGGAGCACCTGTTCATCAATAATCATCGCCTCAGCTCAAACGAGTTCTGCCCGAAATTCCCTACATCTGGGAGCGGGCATCAGGACAAGGCATCGGGTTTGGGTTTTCCTCATCGGTTTCCAATGTTTGATGAATATCACTAACATTCCGTATGTTTCCAAGCAAAAATATAGTCATGGACATTCATGGCGAAGCAACACACAGCAAACAACTTTTACACAAGTTCCAGTACCTCACATGTGCAGCTGCTAGCTCCTTTCTTTTGGGCATGTCATTCGAACCCAAAATCTGCTCTTGAGTGGGCATGTCCCCCGATCGGGGTGTCTGGAAGTCACTCCGCGGCAGTGGTTAGGGCATCGGTTAGGCATCGGCAGTGGCGGTGGTCGTACTATTAGTAGTAGTAGTAGTAGTAGTAGTAGTAGCAGCAGCAGTAGTAGTAGTAGTCGTCGTCGTATAGTAATAGTAGTAGTAGTAGTAGGAGGAGTAGTAGGAGTAGTAGTCGTAGTCGTAGTCGTAGTCGTAGTAGTCGTCGTCGTCGTAGTAGTAGTAGTAGGAGTCGGAGTAGTAGGAGTAGTAGGGGTAGTAGTAGTAGTAGTAGTAGTAGGGGTAGTAGGAGTAGGAGTAGGAGTAGGAGTAGTAGGAGGAGTAGTAGGAGGAGGAGTAGTAGTATAATATGATATATCTGAGAAGGCGTTGTACTTATAAGTATAGTTATAACGAGGATATGTATAGATAATGTTTAAATAAACGACGACAAGTATGTACGTAAGTATGATAAGTACATCAAAAGTTATCGCACTTAAAACAGACTTGTGCTGGAGTTATAGTACATGCACTGCACTTATATGTATACATACAAGTATGTCGTAAGTATGACGTGAAGTAGACAGAACAGACTTAGCGTACTTAGGTTCTAGTTATGAACGCTTGGTTTTTGGAAGACATCCGCGCACCCGTGGGAATGTTCGGCTCAAAAAGTTGAGAATGGCGGAGAGGGCGGGCTTACAAGACTACACACTATTGGCAGACTTCCTGCGATGGGGCTGTTGGGTCCGCTATAGGCGATTGGGGACATCAGACGCATGTCTCGCATTTGTCTCGCGCCGGAGGGCGGGGCAAAGACTCGGCATTGTCTCGCATATCTCGCGTTTGTCTCGCGCCAATGAGCGTAATCATCCGGCAGCCGCAAAACGTCTCTGGCGGGATAGTCGCGTGTTGTCTCGCCTTGTCTCACATTTGTCTCGCACCTGGCAGCAGAGGTTTGTTTTTTTGTTTAGGAGCGAATGCGCACCGCTGCGGCATTTTCCGGTTCCACGGGTATAGAGCAGTGTGCGCCCCCCTCTGCGCGCCATGTCCTTCCTGCGTTTTGTTGAGTTTTGCGATACATGACCGGTTCTTCGAAAAACCTTGGTTCTACCAGGTTACACTTAAGTCAGACTTAGGTCGCACTTGTGCTACTTATGTATGAGTAGACTATAATATAGTTGTCATACTTATAAGTATAAGTACTATATGTATACTTATAAGTACAACGCCTTCTAAGTACACAGCTATTGGTCTTGGGTTTTCGGTTTTGAGTGTATGCTCAATGTGAGACCTACCGACAAACAGCCTTTGGTTCCGACGTTGTTGGACGGATCTCAAACCTTCAAAAAACCTCCCCGGATGGTGCTGTGGATGAATGAACAAGTCAATCTGACCCCGCAGCTACGTAACTTGATTTCTGGCTGCCGTTGCTTGCTTTCCTCATATTTCTGGTTTTCAGATACGTCTAAGATGATTGCAAAAAAAGTGCTTCTGGAACCCAACTGACTGTGCTGCAGCTTTGCCAACTCCTTGGGGTTTGATGTCTTTCGTCCACTGGCTTTGTAGCTCTTGTTTGCTCTCCGTGAACTTGGGGCACTTTCAGCAGGGCTTTCCTGCTGAGAGGATTTACTATTTCAGTCCAGCTGAAGAGCACTCACACGAGAGCAGAACACACATATGAGAGCACACACATGACAGCCCACACACACACGTATCAATATGACAGCACTGGGAAGTCCACTAAATACTGCGCCTGCCAGTTTGGGGTTCAAAAAGTGCTGCACCTGCCACAAATCTGCACTTTAACGTCCGCCAAATGCTGCGCCCTTGCGAGAGTTGCACATTGAAACTCGCTAGCTACTACATGCTACTACGCCTGAACTGTATGCCTGACTCGAAACGACTATGCAACAAACTTTATCAACTGTTTTGCGAACCCTGGCCACGAGCCCTGCCTTACCATTACTGTAAGAACCTGGGGAAATAGTCCAATTCTTAGCGAGATTTGTTTAGCATGGTTGTGTTCATGAGGATCGGTAACTATTGGTAACAGAAATCAATGATGTTTCCCTTCCAGCCTCCTGTATTAGTAAAGGACCAGTCAAGCTGTCCCAAATCCACAACTTGTTAAAACCACTCAGCTCATCTCAATGAATCCAGTGGACTGGCGGGCGAATCCCCAAGCACACCAAGCAAACCTGTGTTGGCTTGGTTGCTTTCGGGCTGCTAGGTCTAGCTTTGTTGGCTTGGCTAGGTTGACACATGTTGGCACCCCACTGGCACATTTGTGAGGCTGAGTGGCTGTCCCTCTGCATGCTGGACTTCGGAGCGCCAAGTAGAACGAAGATTCCTGCCCGGAGCGGCACGCGCGTCGGAGGCGGCTTGGGCGGTGAACGGAGCGCGTCCAGAGGTATTTTCGGAAGACAGGACGTAGAATCAGTTCCAGTGTCCCAGCCAAACAGGCGAACTACGAGGTCTGGCTGTTTGGGGACACTCACATTGGAAACATTGATTTGTTTGGGGTTCTAAGTTCTAAGTGATTGTGTTTTGAAATAGAGAGAGACACCCCCACGCAGCTGAGGTTTTAATAGGTTATAAATACATGTGCATCCATTTCCCTGTGCCAGGGGGCCAGGGTCTTTGGTGCTATATTAGAAGAAAGCCTACAAGTATCTGCAAGTCCAAAGGATGGACAGCAACTGAAGACCCGTCAAGAAACTGGAAAACAACCCCCAGTTGCTGGAGTTTCAGCTGCAGGTTTGAGTTCAATCTCCGGTTGGTCCCAAGTGCTCCTGCCAGACTCCATTTCCAAGCTCATCCTTCACGTGCCACTGGCTGTTACTGAAGGTGCAAATCCAAAAAGCCAATGCCCTCCAATCGCTGGCATAGGACTGGGCATGCTTGCCTCGCCAGTCTGACTTGCTGCGGCCAATGGCCTATCCTACGAAACGGACCTAGACGACAACCTAATTCTCAGTGAGGAAGTAGGGGGACATCCGACTCTCTGCACCTCCGACTCTCTTCTATAGGATAAAGGGATAGCAACATCAATGAGGAAACACTCACCATGAACCCGTTTTTGAGGCCAACATCGTTGATGTCCCGACGATGGACCTGAGAGGATGGTGCCGTGCTGACAGGGCAAGAAACCCTTCAAGGTCCATGGCTGACAGGGCAAGACTTGCTCCATATGGCCTAAAAGATGGTCAAGTCTTTGGGTACCTAATCTTAGCTCCTACCAATCCAGTCAATCCAGTGACCAAATCCATGGTCGTCGACAGTTGGTTGTGATGCGAAAACTTCTCATTCCACGGTTCGGCCAGATCTTGCAAATACTTGACCTCAAAAAGAAAGCTATATATAGCATTTCGCCATTCATGTTGAAGTCATCCTCATTCAGCCGTCCAGTCTTTCTAACTCTTGCAACCCGCAGAACACGTGCAGAAATCACCCTTTTTCAAGCACCCCAAACCCCGCGGCTCTGATGCCATGCACTCTCCGCCACCCCGAACTCAATCCGTCCAAGTCGCGGATGGCATCGTTGAAATGCCTCGCAGCCATGCCCCAGTAGTGGCTCACGAACCATTCCATGGGGCTGGGTCCCACAAGCTCCACGAAGGAGAGCTGATAGGGCTCGGTGAGAGGCTTCACGAGATTGGAGCAAACGTAGTACATGGACCGCTCCTTGATGAAGGCCTCAAAGAACCTCCATGACCGCTGGCATGCGACCGATGGGCGGGCTCGTTTGCTGTACGGCGATGTGACGGGGGGTCGGGTACGTGGCTTTTTCGTTCGGCGATCAGGGTCTCTGAAAAAAAAAAAAACATGCAAAACGTACCAGGACCTTCCAAGAGGTGTCTAACTAATAGCCCCTTAGAGGTGATTGGGAGTGTCCAAAAACTACCGGACTTGGTGTCGGTTTTGGTGTAGCAAGAAACGGTCACCATCTCGAGCAAGCAGAACGAATCCGTCGGATTCCTCTTGCTTGAAGGGATCTGAAGGGGGATCCGTGGAGCAGAGTTCCTCCATCCACCAGAACTCGATGCGGCCAAACTGCAAAAGACTCTCATGCGGCAAAACTGCACAACACACTGTCAGGCGCCCTGTAGATGAGTCTTTTTCCGAGGTAATGTCCATATGATTTCTTTCCAGCATGTGTTTCATATCTGACAACAAAAAGCACGGTGACGCGACGTCACACAGACACATTCCTGACTGCGACAAACGCCAAACCACGCAGTCACACGGCTTTAGTCGTCCAATCGAGGAGGTCCAAATCATCACACATCAACAAGTTCCCGAACTATGACACCCCTGAACCCCTCAACCCCCAAGAAGAAGCCAAGAAGGCCAGGTTCAGGACATGCCACCAGGAAGAGATTACCCACTCATTGAAAGGACAGGAGTACCATGGACACCATCCCCTGACTCCGACTCCCTCGGCTTCCCAGAAAACTAAAGCGTGGACCATGTTCCATCTGTTCCTGGTTTGCGGGGAAACCAATCCTCAAAAGTTTGGTTTTGCGGGTGATCACTTTTCCCTTCAAAAGGGTGGGTGCTTGGAACAACAACTGCTTCTCCTCCACCGCTTCTCCTCCGCTAAAACCAAGGCACTGGGCAAAGTCCTGCAACTCTCCCGCCGTGATCGAGCGATCGGGACCACGCTCACAAGGCTTCAACCGCAAGGGCCACTCTTGGAGGAATTGTCGTCGCCGCTTCCAGAGGGGAGTTCTTCGACTCTGCCTGAAGAAACGAACATCCAAACAAAAGAGTCAAGTGAAAATCTGCGCCGCATCTGGTCTGCGGCATCTGGTCTGGTCGCGGGTGCATGCGGGTGCCATAACTTGAGTCATATCACAGCTAGGCGGACGATGCGATGATGTGAGCCTAGTGCCGGTTTTGCGATGGTGAGGGGAAAGCTAGCCTTTCACCAAAGTCAGCCAAATCCTATTTTACAATTGCAAAACTAATTGTGTATATATAACATATGTGTATATCTATGTATATATATATTAAATGTATATTATATAACATATATATATATATGTGTACCTGGGTAGAGTTTTTGCTTGGATGCTGTATCGATGAAGCGCTTGCACATGAACTGATAGATGGTACTTTCGATGAAACGCTTCATCTAGATCCATGTTCCTGTACCTGGACCCTCAAGTCAGTACTAGGGGTGAAAATACGTACCGTAAGTCTCACTTCTAAAGGGAAACCCATCCTCAGCCGGCCTGCGCCGCCAGAAGAAGGCCAAAGAACCCGCCAAAGTGCCCAAGCCAACCACGAGCAAGGACGAGGACCATTTGAGCTGGCTTGCGGTCCCTGTACTGGCTGCGCCGAAGAGCAAGCACCAGCCAATGAGAGGGCAGTGCCAAAGTCCAATGACCAGGAAAACACGTGGGAACTTCATGTGGACATGTCCCATGGAGGTATCCAAAGGCACGCCTGAGCTTTCACCATGCAAGGTTAACTGGAAGGAATTCAAGGCTTTCACTTTCCAGGAGAAGGTCTCCAAGTCTGGAACACCACTGCCAGTGAAAGTCACCTCTGCAAAGGACTGTTTCAGCAAAAAGTGAGAGATGGACGTGGTAATCACCAACTTCTGCCCCTGGGCAGACAAATCAGCCACGGCAACTCGACCGTGAAGACCAATCAAGCACAAGAAGCAAAAGCATGCTGATGTCACTGTGGATATGACTGCAAGAACAACATCCATCTCATCGATCTGGCAGCTTTGTTTGGTGACATCAGGAGTTGTTCGCAAAATACTTCCCTCACAGGGATCGCACACAGCACTGCCTGGACTGGACACTTGACCTGGTGGACAGCTTGGACATGTGCTTCTCCCAGCAGAGATTGAATAGGTCCCACCAGGACATGGTTGACAAGTGTCACTACCTGGATCTGGTGCTACAAATCCGGCTTGGCATGCGCTGCATGAGTTGTTTGCACCTAGGGAAACAAATCCAGGCGCGCAAAGACTGCATGATAGGTGGTTCGCTTCATACGTACCTGCTGGACATGGCTCGCAAGCGCTACTGCCTGGATTCGGTGCTACAAAACCGACTTGGCATTTGGTGCAGGAGAAGTTTGTTTCCAGCGAAACAGCAAATCCAGCAGGGCACTGATCACAATATTGGTGGTTCACTTCTTGTGTTCCTAGAGGACATTGGTCACAAGCTGAAGCTCCTCTTTGCGAGATGAATCCTGCAGCACAGTTGATGCAGCTGCTGCTTCCCACTGGAGAAAACTTTCCGGCTTGGCACATCTGGCATGTGCTGCTGCCAGGACGAGCACTTGTTCCGCCAGGACATAGCTCACAAGTGCTAGCTCCTTCAACCTTTGTAATTGATCCCGCAGGACACTTAGGGCAACTACTGAATCCCGTCAAAGAAAACCGTCCAGCCAGGCACACCTGGCATGCGCTGCTGCCAGGAGGCGAATAGGTCCCACCGGGACATTGTTCACAAGTTGAGGAGTCTCTGGCAAAGCTTCCTGCATCACACCGGCTGCAAGTACCACTTGCTGGGCTTGACACTGTGCCTAAAGGACATGCGACGCATCGTGCACTGGCTTCTTCAGAATATCTACCTGCTGCACATGCTTCACAGGTGCTACTACCTGGTTTCGGTGCTGCAAATCCGGCTTGGCATGGACTGCATGAGCTGTTTCTACCTGAGGACATTTTTCCGGGCTGACAGTCGTAGCAGGACAGGCCGTTCACTTCGTACTTGCCTGCAGGACAGGGGTCACACACCGCAGCCCCTTCGATGTCCGAGATGAGCCCTGCAGGGCAAAGCAAGCAGACGCTGTTTCCGCTCAATGAATATCTTCCACGCGGACATTTCTTGCAAGAGCCCCCCTCAGAGGAAAATGCGCCTGCATCACAAGGATGGCATCTGCCATCCCTCTCTTCAGTTCCAGCTGGGCAACTACCATTTAAGCAAGTACTTCGGCCGTCAGCATCGTTGCCGTTGAAGTAAGCCTCACAACGGAATGGATGTGGATGTGTAGTAATTACTTTTTCGGGAGACCTTCCAAAGACACTGGAAGAGGAAGAGTCAACATAAACTAAACCAAAACAAATTGGGTCAGCGGCCAGTGGTCTCCTTATTCTCATTCACATCGATCCGCATTAAAAACTAGAAAACAATGTCGAATCCTAATTAGTCAAGCGGGAGGGAATAATATAAGAATAACGGGTGGGAACAATAAGAAGTCATGTTTCGCCCAGGGTGTTTGAAAGGTCTGTTTTTTCGACTATAATGATTGGGAAATAATCTAAGCTTTCTTCTCTATTGTTCTGCAATTGTTGCCCTTCAAGATCCTTGCTTAACTTTTTCTGACCTTTGCCTGCTACTGCTGCTACTACTCCTACTACTACTCCTGCTACTACTACTACTACTACTATTACTACTTCTACTACTACTACTACTCCTCCTCCTGCTGCTGGTGCTGGTGCTGCTGCTGCAGCAGAAAAATCCCAAAGAGGTTGGATGGGTTGAAATTATTCACTCTTCATCTATGGTTGCTATGACCGAACAATCTACATCTGCAAGGGTTGGTGGTGAACTTGCTCAAATTTTGCAGTATTCCTGTCAACTGATGTGTTTCATGTGCTTCATTAAGCTTTGTTGCGGCTAGTTGGTCGATGCCTCTGAAGACGCGTGACAATTCGTGTTGAGACCGGGCTGAGCAGTTCGCGGTTTCGCTTGTCGTTGGCCGACTGACCGGTTCGCGACCGCCCGAGCGACCGGTGTCCACCGTTGTCACAAGTGTGGGGCTTCTGAAGGGTGCCAAGGAAAGAACGTGACAAGAGAACTTACAGCAGCAAGGAATCTGTGATATAGGAGTTGCAGTATACCGTATACCTAGCAGGCCTCATGGCAGATGCATGAACCATTCCCTGCTGCCACACGTGCAGTTTTATCATGCTCTGCAAGAGCTTGTTGTGCTGTCGCATCGTCGAAGCAATCTCCACGACCGTAGCACACGTTGCCATCCCCTGGACATGGTTTGCAGTTGCGCATCTGTCCTGCATCTGGTGCAACACTGTAGAAATGTGGCTCGCAGCGAGAGCAATCATCAAGCTCATGACCTGGATTGCAGCTGCACTTGAGATGTCGGAGTCTGCACGAGCCCTTTCCATAGCACGCATCCAAAGGCGTGCAAAACCCTGCGGTCCAAAGCTTGAGGCGATTGTCAGATGTGATGATCTTGAGTCGGCCATCGGACACATCTCCCAAGTCCCAGTTCTGAGAATCAGAAAGGCCAGTATTGAGGGAGTTACTGAGATTCGTGCCTAAGCATTGGAAATCATCGTCGCATCGCACCTCACCAGCGCTGTCATGCTCACAGGCTTGAAATCTTTGTCCAACTCTCCTAATCAGGTCGAGATCACCATCTCCGTCAGAGTCCAGAAATCGCATCCTCGACCCGAACATCCTTTCAAAGGATGATGTCCTGTGGATCTAGGAAAGCACAGGCAGAAGAGTATGAGTCGCCACTAGCGTCCCCTTAAAATACCTAATCCAGGGGATCCAGTCACTGCTAGAGCCGGTAACCAGTGGTGCCAAAATCATCCAAAGACTGAAACTTAAAACCAAAATACCTATCTTATATAGTGACTATAGTGGCTGCTTGAGATAAGGTGTTCATCCATACATCCATATTCCAATTCCAGTCCTGTTCACACCCACAGCCCTGAAGGGGCTTTTCTCACTAGGCCACTCATGTAGACTGCCATCTGCCATTTGTTCAAAATAACGACCATCGCCCAAGACCAAATCCATGTCACCATCATTGTCCCAATCCACAGGCATAAGGCTATCACAGCAAGAAGTGCCCAAATAATCATAACAGTCTGGTAGGTCTAATTTGATGTGACGGAACGGATTTGAAGTTGAGTTCACCGATTTTAGGTGACCCAAGACCATCTCGTAATAGTACACCTTGTGATCCAAATATGATCCGACAATGAGATCCAAGTCGCCATCAAAGTCCCAATCGACAATGGCAAAACTGTCTTGAAGCTTTGCTGGGATGTCTTCGAAGACCCCACCAACTTCTCGGACATTCAGCTGATTCACCTCGTACAAACCCAGCGGCGGTGGCCGTGCTGGACTTCTTCCCTCCACCCAGCTGATGTAGGCTGCCTCAATTTCTACGTTGTTGTGTGAATCCGGCAGCAGCACTACATCATGCCAGCCATCTTTGTTCCAGTTGATGGCCAAATGTCTTCTGAATCCCGGCATAATGTCCTCGTAGGAAGTGAAATAAGAGTTGTACTTCATGTCTAGGTTCAGCACATGTTGATAGTAGTTTTCTATCTTCCACTCGTTGCCGGACGTTTGCACCATCACAATATCTGGCAAACCATCTGAATTCCAGTCCGTGACGTGGATTGACCTTACATACTCGTCGATCTCCCGCAGTGGATTTTCCACAGGTTCCACAAAACTACCATCATGTGACCTCCGAAAGTAGCGAAGGCGACTGCGATAAGCATAATCGAGAGAATGCCGCCTCTCTTGTATCACATCCAGTCGTCCGTCACCATCCACGTCCACGATCTGCACCACATAGGCAGCAGCATTGTCAAATTGACTCATTGGATTCACATCGCGCTGGACCAAGTCTGCAGAGCTTCGTTCGAAGTATGCCTGGTTCAATCACGCAGCGACGAGCGACGAGTCTACAACTGCTACTGCGAGGCGTTCCTCGCAGAACATGGAATACCTTAGCAAAATGTGCCGCCTATGTGGTTCCATGTATATATAGCTCTATATTCAGCGTCGTCATTCTCCCATCCCATAGTACGATTGTTCAAGAAAGTTGTCACAAAATTTGAACCAGTCATTATAGTGGGTACCACAAACAGCAAACACAAACAATGGAATCCCTGTTGTCCATGTTTTGAAAAGGCTTGGTGGAAAGAAACAAAGGTTTTGGACATGAAACACAACAACCTAATATATAATCAGGCCAGTTGCACTGCATGGTGGCAGTGTACCAAGTCCACGACCTGTTCGCCCTAGGAAGAGGTCAACATCGCCATCCTCATCAAAATCCACAGGCTGCATCTGATCACATAAGGATGAGCAACTTTTTTTGATCGACACAATCGCTTTGCCATGATCGACTGTCTCGGAGTTCCAATGAAACAAAGATCGGTTCAGGAAAGTCACCGTTGTCTCGTCACCGACTCTGGTGCAAAACAATAAGTCTAACTTGCCGTCGACATCCCAATCGGCCACCCGAAAGCTTTGAAAACCCTGATGAGGAAGTTTCAGAAGTTCCTTCCTTCGGTAGGTGTCATCTGGAAGCCTTTCATAGAAATCAATCTGGAACACCTCAGGCGTGTAGTGACCAGCCAAAAGATCCAGGTCTCCGTCAGCATCCCAATCGGCGAAACTCAAATGCTGAGCATCCGCCTCTCGCGAGCTGCGACCACTGAGACCTCCAATGCTGAGGACAAATGGCTCATCCACCACTACTACCACCGCCTCCCTACGTGTGTAAAAACAAAAACATCCAAACATCTCTAAATCGCCCCAGCATGGGCGGTTGTGAAGCTTAGATGACCCCCGGCAAAACGGTACATGAGCGTCGCTCTCCACAAACAAGTGGGAAGTTCGGTGTCAGCATTAAAAACAAATGTTCCGCCCCATTCCGTCCCAACGCCAAGAAAATTTTTGTTCACCCGTCGCACCGGACCTGCTTGACCAGGCAATCTCCGGTGTTCAAAACTGTGGAGTTCCCCCACGCAAGTTCCAGCGGCCGCTTGGCACCACGTTGATGCTTCGCGCTTGATAGAGCCAAGTGACCTAAGGTGAAGCTGAGATGAGGCTTGGGAGACACTTGGGGTCACACACACATAAATATGTATAAATACATAGCTATAATTATATGGGTATGTATATATATATATATATTAAGTACCCCTATATAAGGAACCAGGGTGTGTGGGTCTACGCCACTGGTTGCATACTATAGTGGCAACTGGATCCACTGGGATGTATATCTAGGGACCGCAGTGGGTCTGTGGGCCTTTCCCTTGCGTGGCGGCCCCCTTTCAGGAATGGAAGAGTTCCATGGTGGCGGCGGCGGTGAGGGGGCAGTTTTGACTGGAGATGTACATGGCATGCTAGGCAATGTTGCTGCTTCATTGTGGGCATGTGCCCAGGCTGAACGAGACGAGGTGTGACTGTCACAAGACGAGGTGTGTTAGGCTGTGCTGTCGGCATGCGGGAACAAACAAAATCTAATAATGATCATATTGATATTGTACTTCGAGTGTTCCCCACCCTGAGGCGCGATTTGGAAGAAGGCAGGGCACATGTATTGACAAACTATCCTGACGAGCGCTGCCTGACATGCGCATTGGTTCACGGGCACGTGTTCTGGCATCGAGTCTGGCATCTGTCAAAGAGGCTGGGGAATGTATTGGAGTGCGTTCTAACGTCCTTGTTGCCATGTGCTCTGAACTTTGCCCGGCCCTGAAGTCTGACATGTGTTCTGACATATCTTCTGGCATGTACTTCTGGCGTGTGCTATCGCACCAAACTGGCAGGTGCCCTGACATGTGTTGTGATATCTGGTCCGACTTCGGGTCTGCTGTGTGTGTTCTGCCATGCATTCCGATATGTGTTCTGCCATCAAACCTTCCATTTGCTCCGCCATATGTTCTGACATCCTTTCTGGCATTCCAGGATGGGGGCGCACCTACCCCAACAGGAGGGGAGGGGCCTAACCCCGACAAGAAACATGAAACCCCCGACAAGAAAGAGGACATCATCACGACAAGGACGTACCTTCTTCCACTTGATCAACAAGCCTGCTTTCTGATACTCGGTGGAAGCAAACTCCCTCCGACTTGCCGGGGCCAACACTAGCCCCCCAAACCAGCTTCCACTAAGGAAAACTGGGCAGATCCATCAATCTGTGGGGGAAGGCCTTGCCGATATCCTTCGACCAGCTTTCTGGGTGGAAAACTGATTTCTGGAAAATTGGATGGTGGTAAGACCTGACATTGGAGAGCTGCTTTGTAGAGAAGTGCACGGCGATCCATGTGTGTGTTGAAGACTGCGCAAAGCGACAAATACATACAAATACCAGAAAAACATTGACTGCACAGGAAACAGAAATGGATGGATGCTGGTAGTGTATGACTGCTTGGGAACCTAAACACTTCTAAACAATTTTTGTGGGTGACACTGTCATTTGTCTGTGTATGCGGTTGTCGTGAGACAATGTAATTCTTGTCGTGCTAAAGTGCTAAACTATTTCCTGTCGTGATAAATGATCTTTGTGATTCAATTAATAAAATCGTGGCAAGGACACCCTCGCTTCATTCTATCGAGCATATCTGGTGGCCTCGTTTCTGGCATTCGATCTGGTATATATTCTCGCATGTTAGGAGGACAAAGGATGACGGAGGAAGGAGGAACACTTTGTTGAAATAAAAGACCCTCACCTGGCAGGTGAAAAAAGCAGTTCCCCATGGCAACATGTATCTTCCTCCCCCTCTAGAATCCTGCCAATGAGTTTCGCAAACTGGCGTTCCATCTAACATAGAACTGACGTTCCACAATGGCCAACAGCACCCCGCCGCCGCGCGCCAGATACTTGCATTCTGCCAGCTTCTTCAGTTCGTGACCTTTTGAAGGTTCCATCCAGTGACCCTACTCGGAGGCTTAAGTGACCTCAAACCAACCAGGTGATCAAGTACGGTCACTTTGAAGAACCAGGCGCATTGGATTCCATTTCCCTCAAAAACCATGCCTTTGAACTCCAACCGTTCGACCCCTTCGACGACCGCCACGACTCCTGGGGACCGGCACGCACCCGTTCGTGTCGTCGAACGGCACAGACGGATGCGGATGCGGATGGTTTTCGTATCGTTTCGCATCGTATCCGCCAGGTCAATATGCCAGTCCCACTGCCAGTCCCATGGAGTGTCTGGGTAATGAGACGCCAAAAAGGGAATGTTCCTGTTAAATTTCAAAACACCTGCCAGTGCAAGAATGCTAAATGTGGGCAGGGAACACAAGGTACCCAGTAGCACCTAACCCTTTGGGGAAATTCAAACGTGGCTTGCTTGTGTGTGTGTGTGCGACTATTGATGAGCCAGTCGACCCAGTGCGAAGCTAATCAAAGCTACACTTGCGCAATCAACAGCTTAACATATATAACTAACCAAAGACTTGCAGTAAGCCGAAGCCAATGCGAGCATCCCAAGAGCATTCAAGATCAACGTGATGCTTGCCCACATGGACACGGGCAGGTTGCTCGTGAGAGCAGGAGTCGATCAGTCACTTGTCCACATCTTTGTCCTACTTTTGGGTGTCATGAAAGAGTCTGAGATGCCAGGAGTTCCAAAGAAATCCCAGTCAATGGACCTCACTTTACTGGTGTTAGTTGTATACAAACACTACTGAATGAGGTAAGGACCAGATTTTACTGGGTCTTTGGAGCTGTATACGGAATGGTTTTGTGGACGAATGCAATGGGTTGGACGAATGCCGCACTACTCTCCAAGTCCCATCGTCACAACCGGCACTCTTGGATGTTTGCTTTTGATCCAAGCCAACTGCGCCTGATATGTCAAACCTGAATACATGTTGAATACATGTTGAATACATGTTGAATCATGTTGAATCATGTTGAATACATGTTGAATCATGTTGAATCATGTTGAATCATGAGATACAAAACAGTTGAATCATGTTGAATCGAAGACTGGTCCTGTTTCTAACACGGAGCAGTTGGTGTTTGAGCCATGGAGCCATGGATCATCAAAGCAGCAGTGGCATGGCATGGCGTGTTTGAAGGCTGAATGAGCTCTTACATGATCTTACCAGCCCACAGCTTTTCGCAAGCCACAGTCAAGCCATATCAGGAAATGGGTCCTCTTTTCGATCTGGCCTTTCGGTGTTGGGTCGGCGAGCTTCCACAAAACACCCGTTTTTTGATGACTCCTTGACCGGACCCTCCAAAGCACCTTTCAAAATGGGGCATGCGGCATGACCCATCACCTGCATGAAAAACCTTCATGTGGCACTCTTCGTTGACAGAATCAACAAGAGTGGCACAGGCTATCTTTTTCTCGCGGGTGGAACTCATTGTATCTCCAGAACCTTGTTTTCTGGCAGTGATATCCTCGACCCTTGCTGTAGAAAATTGAAGAGAACCCGCGAACGGGGAAGACACCGTGGTTACATCCTGTCATCATCCACACATGCAGCCGCACAAGCACGAACACTTGCCAAGTCCAGCAAGGCAGGCAAAACATCCAGGATTTTTGTCCTGATTGTCCGGCTTTGGTTTGTCTTGCCCACTCATTGCACAAACACAGGAGCAGGTGGGAAAATGCGCCCAAAAGTCTACTTGGACGGACGGCTGCTTGCGTTTTGCCTTGGTTTTAACTTGGGTTCCTCCCCTGCTTGAAGGTTTTAACTTGGCAAACTATTACTGTCAGTGGGCCAAGTAAATCTGAAACCACATCGATGGCCGGCCCTATCCCCGGACGAAAAACCGCCCTCCCTTGCGGTCCCTTGCGGCCTGGTGAGCGAACGCCGCGTCGGAACGCCGCGGCAGCTGTGCGGCAGCTGTGCAGGTGGAAAGGGCACCTGGATTTGCGGCTCCCGGAAACCGGGAAAGCATTTCCATAGAGTCGGGTGCTACCCATGAAGGTTAGGGGTGGCCCTGTCACATCCATGGCCGGATGGGACCAAACACCACCCTGGCCTCCATGTGACTGGTACTTGGACGTCCTGACCGCTTGTAGCCCGGAAAGATGGGACATGACCCGAACCCCTGCTGCCATGTTCCGACAAAAACCAACTCAGATCTTCAGGTCTTTCCCAGCTTCAGGGGATTCATCCAGTTCGGGAAGATCATGGAAAATCCATCAGCACCCGATCGGCAAGACCCGATCCGTGGTCCTAAATCTCTGAGAGGAGAGGAGACCCAACAAACATGAGTAAAGCATTGTAAAGCCGCCTGCAGTTCCATTTCAAAATGCGTTTTAAACCAGGATTGCACCCATGATCCCCTCCCATCGAGTCTCAAAGCCCATCCCCACTCCTGGTAGTACTCCTGGTGGATGCTCTGTTTTGGGGGTCCGACCAGTCTAAGTCTCTCTCGCTCCTCTCTCACCTTCCAACTCGCCAAGCCTGCTCTGCCATGGGTCGCACAAAACTGCCTACGTTTCTTGCACAAGACATTTCCAAACAATCCCTGGGTGGTTGGAACAGTTCCAGAAATTCTGCAAGACCCTTCCACACAGTTTCAGAGGTCCTTTCAAATGGTGGGACTTTGCTCTGATCAGACGGGGTGTGTCGATGTGCAAGCTAGCTTGCCCTCTGCACGTGGGGAGAGCTGCTGTGTACACATGATTCACCCCATGTGGGGAACTACGAGACATGCGTTCGGAGGCCTCCGAACATCTCTGCAGCGGAATCTCGTCTTCGCAGCGGAAGAACCCCCAGAGATACGAGACTGTGCTCAGGAGACTGTGCTGCTTGGGGATCCGTGCTTTTTGGGATCTTCGAGGGTCAAACGAAAGGACAGTGACAGCTGTTTGTGAACGACTATATGCGTCTTTCAACATGTCCAAACATGTCCACAACTGTTCAAGTCGTGAAATTTCAGTCTGTCAAACGAAGCAACAGTTCTTGCAAATTGGGGGAGTCGAGGATTTGGGGAGACCGGATTCACTGAGTCTCTGCCAACATGGATCGCCCCGGATCGGCTCCGCCTTGGGGTGTAGAATGGGACTGACCTGGTGGTGTAGTGTAAGTCCATAACAAAATCCTTACAAACGACCCTCCTGACCCGACCACAGGTGGTGAACCTGGGCACCGGACTTGGAAACACGGGAAGCATCTGTTGGAGGGTGCTGGTATATATACTGTATATATAATTATATAATTGGATTTTGATGCTCTTTGATGGATTGCATGGATCAATTGTAATGCTGGTTCTTCTTATGTTATTGTTCTTCAGCATGATAAATATATGTTCTTCGTAGTGTGAAAATCACTGTGCTGTACAATTGTTCCTTACAATGCTGGTTCTTTGATGCTCTTTGGGAAAGATCATATAAGAATGGTTGTTCGAATCCTAGGGGTTCGTTTGCTTGGCCTCACATGGCGGGGTACCTGGTGATCTATGGATCACAAACTGGTCAGGTGGGTCCTTCGTTGTTTGGTCCAAACGTGACCGTGGTTTCTCCTCGGTCACCTGCTGAGCCGGTGGCATGTCATCCGCTTTGGGACGAAAAAGTGAAACCAGCGACATTCCAAGCCCTAGGGAAAGGTTTGCTACGACCGGACCCGACATCTCCAAAGGTTTTGGTGGATCCATAGGGAAGGGAAATGGCTTTGAGTCCCAGTTTTCGTGGAGGTGAACTTGGACTGCGGCACGAAGGACACACGGCTGAAAAACTTGGCCCCGGAACCGGACTGCGGCACGTCGGTCCTGGAACTGGAGCATGGAGAACCTCCAGCGCTTTGGCTGGCGCGTATTTTATTTGGATGACGAAACATGATCGTAGCAAATCCTCCAACAGTGGTCTGGCGAAGACCCGTTTCCTCCAAACCAGTGGTTTTGAACCTGGAGGACATCCATCCCAACCTCTCGCACTGCGAGGCAGCTAAAGCCCTCACTGCTACCCTTCAGGGTGGCTCAGAAGGCACGTAAATGCGCATGTTGAGCTCGTAGCAACAGTCTCCACCTGAGGCCATGTCCCCAACCCCAGATCGACGCATGTTGAAGCCTTATCACCGGGAGGACGTCGTCTCGTACCTCAACGCTCTGGAGTGAGAAGACATGTCCAAGCCAACCTTGGAGGCCAAACTTGTCACACCCTGTGCGACTAGCGCCTAGCGCCACACGTGCCGGCGTTTCACGTGACTGTGTCTCACACCAAGCAGAGGCCTAAGAGGCCAGTTCCGTCAGAGCACGCAGCTCATCGGTCAGCGCAGCTGGAGTTGAAACAGGGGGATTGGTGAAAACAGCTCATTCAGATGAACATCGCGATTGGGATATGAAGATTCCATTGTAAGGCTTGGATTTCCCAAAACACTTGGTCTGCTGGGTGATTTCAAGCCCCATCCTCAAGAAGATCGCTTCATGTTTCAACATAACTTAGAAAAAGCCAATGAGATCACCTAACGGTCACCCATCTTCCGTTGAGAAGGACATGAAAACCATAAATCCATCAGAATGCCATTCTCTCGCCAGGTCTGCCAATGACGAACCCTCACCGGAATGATGCAGGGTGATCTGGTGTAGACTTTGGAACCGACGCCTTCGGCTTGCACACCTGCATGAACCCACGTCGTTGATGGAACCTGATGAACGTCGTTGATGGAACCTGACCCCCAAAAGAAGTATATACTTCACTGAAAGTGGACAGTGATATCACACTCTGTAGTTTGTGGTTCTCATCATCTGAAGTGCTGGTTGACACCAGTTGAGTTGAGTCTGCTCCAGTCTTCCTTGAGACGACCATGAACTCCACCGTCGGTCCCGGAGCTCTCTCGAGCTTCACCGTGTAATGCCAGGGAGCGCTGAGCTTTGCGCAACTGCATGCTCAGGTTTTCAGTCTCCTGAGAAACCTCAGTGCTCATGTGTCCTTTTTCCCTGCCCGGGGGGAATCAGCTGTTTCTTCCCTGCCGAAACATGTATTGCCAGCGCATGTATTGCATGTTACACGCCATCTCTCAAATCTCTAATCTCTACCAGATCTATAGACCAGTAGCGACAGCATCAATTCCAAGCAGCCTCAGCACAAAGCATGTGCACCGTGTCCATGTGCATTCGCTCCATGTTCCTCAAGAAACACTGGTGCACGAAGAATCCTCAGCGGTTGGAGGCGGTGAACCCTTCGCCCGTTCGCAACCCGAAAGATGGAACAGGTGGAGGCGGAAGAACCCTATTACCAGGGCCCCCGATTGCGTGGTGTCTAAGAATAGCCCCCTAGAGGCTAAGGGGCGTCCATGAACCACCCCAAACCAGGGACCCTAGTATAGGGCTGAGCGCCGTCCCACGACTTCAAGAAGCAAACGGGACCGACTTGTCCTGGCCAACCCCAGTTCCACCGATTCCAGTCGACGGAGGTGGAGCCAGTTGGAGCCCTACAGTAGGGAGACAGAACGTGGAAGGAAGGAACACTTCTCAACCACTTTGGTCCACCAATTCAAAGAAATGACAACCTTTGAAGTGGAATTGCTTCTTCTTTTAAAAGTACTCATTATAGTCAGACACTCCGTTGGCATGTATGGTCCTACATTGACCACCTCCGAACCATCCCAATGTATGTAAAAATTGCTTTTTAAAAAAGATGCCAGTCCCAAACAGCTCCTGTGTGGAATTGATGACCATGGACCCACTAAGCTGCTCTCTCTTTTTTTTTCGGCTGCTCAGTCAACACGAAGCGAAGAGCGGCGTCAGGACGGCCGCAGCAAAAAAATTCGTCCGTTGTGGAGAGGTCTTCCCCGTGACTATAATCGTCCCCGCTCAAAACGAGTCCAAGTAGACCCAGAGACTACCTGTTGGAGTGCTCTCTAGAGTGCTCTCTCAGTGTCTCTGTGCTCTCAACTCACCTCGAACATCGCATCCGTGAGGTGAAGATGAGGCTTAAACAAGAACAAAAACATCCGTCCGACATGGAACTGTCGGTATACCTACTTTTTATAGGCTGTCATTTCTTTTTGTAGGGTCATACCATGTCAGCTCAAAAAGGGCCCAGGAAGGTGTGTCCCTTTGAGCTATTCAAAAGGTCTTGATGACGTCGTGTGGCATCTGCCCAGTGCACGTCGTGTGATTCAATCGGTTCGCTGAAAGAAGGACCCCAAGCCCAGTGGTTCCAGAACTAGAGTGTTTATTTTTTGAGAGTCCAGGGGCGCCCATAGTCATATTGGCTTGAATATAAAGAAAAACATAGGAACAACCATCTGTTGAACACTCCGAACCAATCAACAGATGCTTCTCCTGGGAGCTTTAGATGGTTGTAGATACTATACTTACTATACTCCTAGTTCTGTTGATACTCCTCCAAACAACCGAATTCATTTCTCTCTCCGCACCAAGGGTTCGTCTTGACTCGGGCTCCCTTCGGCCTGCTCTTTTGGGACTCCTATCAGTGTGCTCTGTCCACGGCCGTGGGCGGACTCGCTCCGTTTCGGGATGGGTCCTGAGCAGAATTCCATCGTAAACCCATATAAACCCGCCCCGCAATTGCTGTTTTTCTTTCGAACATCGTTTAAGCCTATACCATATGGAGTTGGAGGTTTTGATCTATTTTGTGCATGATTCATCTGACGACCTTCAAAGAGGGATGACTCCTTCCAAGCTGACGACCGGTCCGTCCCCACCATCCGCCCGTTCGGCACCATCCATTTTCAGAGGCTCCGAGCAAAGCCAGTGCGACGCCGGCGCCCATGGCAATGCCCATGATCACTATGTCGAAGCTCAGGATGATGCCGATGAGGAGGCCCACGAAGAGGAAGGAAATGCCTCGGAAAAAAGCCCTTCCCGTAAAAGGGTGCGCATATAGATTAATTTCCTCAGGTATGATGGAAACTGTAAGTTCTAATGTTGGACTGTTGATGTAAACAAGGGACCAGTCATCATGTTGGACTGCTGAGGCTGAGGCATATAATAGTTTAAGAAAAGAAACAAGCCTGGACATGTAAAGGGTAGGGAGGTTGCTAATCAAAAAATATATATACTCAACTAGACTTTCCCACATGCGTGTATGGAAGCTGAGTGGCAGCCGAAGATGCTCCGCTTTCATGGTCTGAGGGAGGGGGAGAACCATTCTCAGTATCCAGGCTCGAACACACACGCACACACACACACAAAAACACATGGAATGAATCAGTTATTGTAATTTACAGTATCCCACGGCATATATACCGACATTCAGGCCTTTTTAACCACCCTTATAGTATAGGTCAATATGCTGGTCCGGAGTGGCCCCGTCTGATGCTCCTTCGGACACGACTTGTTTGCAGAATGCCTGCACAATCTCCATCTCCATCTCCATTGGACCAGCCACATGTAGCCCTACAGGTCAGTTGGACCTCATTTAACCCTAGGGATCCACATACCGAACCTCAGGAGGTACGACTGGGCCCTCCCTCCTGGCGCCAAATAGTCTCCTTCCTCACCTAACCTGAGGTTCGGTACGACAACGGATCCCTACCTGGAACCCCAAACGATCACCGTTTTTTGAGTGCCAATCAGTTTTGAGACGCCACATGGCATTGGTGTTCTGTTTTTGGGTGTTTGGCTAAAACGATCAAGAAATATCAAGGAATCAAGGACTGCTTTCGCTATGTGGAAACCTTGCCGGAAACGAGCTGGAGACACCCAAACGCTTAAAAATACAACACAACATTTATAAACACGACTCAAACGACTAGAAACACAACACAAACGACTAGAAACACAACGCCGTTGTGTGAACCACCTGAAACAACAACCAAAAATACAACGCAAACGATCAACAAAACGACGCAAACGCTCAACTTTATGGCGCAACTTTGGTGTTGTTATTCAATACACTTTGGAATCCCTGGAGTGACACCGGCACAGGTCTTGGATTGTTTTTTTGATGGTCGATCAAAAAATCCAAAACGACTAGATTTTGGTAGGTGTTCCAGGCTCCAGGTATAGGTAACCTTTCACCGGAGTGGATCGAACCAACGACGACTCAAACGACGACTCGACCAGTCTCCTGACCTCGCACAGCGCAAGACCAGCCCGCACGTGGTAGCGATCGAGGAATGGATTCTCCGGATGAGACGCTCTGGTTCCGAGGCCGAAGCTGAAACCCACTGGCTGACATATAGAGGAAGCGATAGTAGTCTCCCTTGCAGGTCCATGCCGTTCGCCCAGTTCCATGTCAGGTCTCTTTCCCCGAGTGTGCACCAAAATTGCAGGGGGTCTGGTCGATCAACGCATTGGAACGATGCTGTGATGCTGTGATGCTGGTGGTTCACAAAACTGCTGGGTTGGACGGATTCTCAATCATCAATGAACCCCCTGTTCCGCGATGGACGCCGGTTTGACCGATGGATTCGGTGGGACCCAGTGGCAGGCGAGGATCATGTAGTTCCTGAGGAAGAGCCGGCGAGAATCGAAGCGATGCCGTGCACCACCCAGGTGGATGGGAAGAAGTCGGAGTTCTCTGTTCCAGTGGCTTAAAATAGAAGTTTTGAGGGTCAGATCGGGAACCAGGGGCCTCCAAGAGTCGCCCTTACAATAGGCGAAGGGATGAGAACCGAAAAACCAATTCGGGTCGGACTGGACCTGTACGGTTCTGAAGATGTTTCTGCCACTGCCCACTGCCCTCAAACTCCGGGAGACCCGTTCGGAGGGTTCGTAAAGGGTCGCGCCCAAAGAGTCTGGGAAGACAAAAACAAGGGTCCAAGTTCCCGATGTATTGGGGGTCAATAAAGATCCCGGATTGATACAGCACCATCGTCCCTATCAATTCCCCTTTGCTGGAAGACTATGCATGATAAAGGAAACCTGGTTCAAGCAAACACACACACAGGCTGCCGGCTGGTACCACGGATTCTTGGATTCAAGTCTTGTGAAAAAAAAA